CCCCTTTCTCCCGCTTTCTGTTGACTGCCTCTCCATCTGCCCGACAGGGTGTGGGTGGCCTTCAAGTGATGTCCCCAGCCCATCACTGTCCTGCCTGCACATCCACTGCTGTCCTGGGCTTGGCCCTTGCACCTCCTCCCGACAGCAGCCTGCCCTCCTTTACAGGGATAAGCCACCTGCCTGCTGCCCCCTCCCGAGGCTGCCCTCCACGCCTCCGGACCAGGTCCTGCACACTGTGACCTCAGTCCTCTGTTCAGCCCTTCCCAAGGGTCCACTCCTTTCATCTGCGTCCCTCCCGGCTCACTGCACTTGAGCCTCGTGGGTGCTATTTCAGGCCTTGTCACTTGTTCTCTGAGAACACCCTCTTACGGTGTCTTCACATCTGCTGATGTTGACTATAGAAACGTACTAATGCTACCTTCCTTTAAGAAATAAAAATATCTATGAAGAGCAAATCAAGATACAGTTTTGCCAGTGCCAGTTTTATAGACTTAAGACAGTTCTTTCAGTTTTACTGCACTTACTCCACCAATTTTTTAAATAGAATACTTTTATTACATTAGTGACTAAAATTTGAGTTTTCAATTAAGTCTATAAATATAGTACTGATCTTTTCACCTAGAAATAAATACCCATTTTTGTACAAGAAAATAGAATGTTTTATTTTTGGAGGTAAGGACTAGTGATGAGAAACCATAAATAATCATTTTTTAAGGTAAATCTTTTAAATTTGATTGCGTTTTATAAAAAATTTATTAAATGTGCTATGAGAAATTACTAATGTGTCTTTATCTCTTTCCAATTTAGAATATCAAGGAAGAATGGCCTCATAGGACTTTCAGATTTCTTTGTTCCAAAGAGGAAAATTTAGAAAACCTCGAAAAGAAAACTCTGAAGACATAGGTCATTAATGCAGAGAAAAACAAATTTTAATGTTGAATTAATGCTTTTTAAAATCTTGGCACCAAATACAAATTGTCTTTAACCACATACATCCACAGTGTGAGTTTTTTTCTTGATGGAAATTTAGCATAAGAGGTGCTTCATGGCCAATTTAATTATCGCTCTCCACCATGTCTTGTAAGGACCTTAAATGTAAGAAATCCATAGCAGCAAAAGAACCTACTTTCGGAGACTGCAGAGTAGAAAGTACCTCCCACCCCGCATGCCTGTCTTTCCCATGCAAGGTGGGCCCAGGGCCTTGTCTGTCTGGAAGAGCCTGACGGCCAGGAAACACAGACAAGCTCCTGGTCCATTTGAAGGGAAATAAGCATCCAAGATCTGTTATTTGCTTAACTTTCATAAAGTCTTCAAAATGCCATTGCCAGTGATACATTTTAGATTATTTTCCTGAGAACTTGGAAATAGTTTGGCTTTGGGTTCTCTGTGGATTGGCCACCATGCTAGTAAGTGTTACTGGTGTCCAAAGAACTGTGAAAACCCAAAGCTATGAGAAATATTTTGCTGTTGTCTAAAAAAGTGCTTAGTTTTTTATACTGAG